TCACTCTGAGCCTTTAGGCCATTTGTCAGGTAGATTCAAAAAGGAAGGTTTACTCGCTTATGTTTAAAGGGAAATTCTGCTCTGCACAGTACGTGATGCACATTAAATGTTAAACTGCACCTTTAAAGTTACACTAAATTCAGGCATCGTACAGTTCATGCATGTGCACTATGTTCATTGTGATGTTTTGTATTTATTTCATAAATTCAAAGTTTGGAATGATCTTGTAAAGTAGAAGTAATCTCCATAAACAGATTCTGCATGTGAATAAACAGAATCTGTAGGGGAGGGTTCTGGTTTCAGTTTCTAGATTAACCAATAGGTTTTGAGCAGGCTTTGGTTGTGAACAGAACAGAAGATGGAGCCTTGTCCTGGATATCTTCCGTCTACACTGGACCCCCCAAAATATTGGCCGATGCCCCCACTCTCACCAATTTTGTGCTCTGAGATTGCTCCATGTGTGACCTCAGCACTCAGCTTTCTCCATCAAGATTGTACGGTGCTCTGAGGTGTTTCATGGCTGAGCGTGATCTCATGGACGCTTGCAGTCCATCCAGAATAACAATATGGGGGTGGAGGATATAACAACCAGTTCATATAGAGAGGAGTGAAAGCTGTTTGTAGAGATGTAACTGAAAAATATTTGGGGAAAAAAGATTCAAACAAAGGTTTCACCCGAGGCAAACATTTTATAATTCAGGTCTGAGCTGCAGGGCTCTGGGAGGTCATGCAGAAACATACTTTTGAATGTAGGAAATGTTTATGGAAAATAGACAAAAAATTACTTTTCTCATGAGGCTACAGGCAGGAGCACTGAGGTCATGGACGGGGATTAAATAAAGGAAACCCATTTATAACAGAGACATGTGGCTGTATGTGAGACCATATTCAATTTACTGCATTTAATTAATTGTAGCCCTTACATTTGTGATTGTACATATTTGACTATTCTTCCATTTATTTCCACTTTCTGTTTAATCAAACGTCAACTTGGCACAACTGGAGAGTTATTTGGTTTTGTGTTTTAATAAGTTATCGTTTGATCAGACTGAAGAGATGCACACTGAAAACGAGAGTCCAAGAAAGAAGTAGAGATAAACTAAATACCTGGAGAGGTTCGGATGCTGAGGTTGCGTGTGAAGTCGTCTTTGAGCGCATTGAGAACAGCTGTCATGTCCGCCTTCACTTCTTCCAGACTGATGATGTCCTCCACCAAAGCTGAATTAATATTCACCTTCGACGACTGGCCCTTTGCCTTGGCTTGTAAAATGAGAGGGAGAGAAGGACTGAGGGATGAGGATTAAGATAAATAATGTCTAATCAAGTAACGCACATCCAGGGGCTGTTTGTGCAGTCCAGTGTTTGTAATGTCCTCACTGACCTTTTGACTTTTTGGTGGCATAGAGTCTGGTGCACGCAGCAGGGTAAGAGGTGATGTTGGGGCACAGCGGCGCTGCACTGACCCTGGATGTGACCGCCAGAGGAGACCTGAGCTGTCGAACCAGGGACTGACACAGCAGAGGTCTCAGCCGGCTCAGATGATTCAGAGCCATAACTACAAGAGAAACAACAGAAACAAGAGTTCTACTGGGTCCAAAGCAACATCATTGAGTTTTAAATTTCATATAATCAGAGGTTGTCCACAGATCACAAAAATCTGTTGGAATGTCAGTTGTAATATCATCAAAATGAGGTAGTAACTCATATCAGCCAGTAGGAGGTAGGCCTACATCTTGTACAGATGTATAGTGCTATGATCTCCTGTAAGTGATGAGAATCATTATTAGAAACAGCAGCTCGTTTTGTGGTTTACAAAACTTAAACATGGGAGGAAACATTTCCCATTGGATATTAATGCAATTTATCAAATTTGTCATCTCAAATATCAAAATATCTTTACAGTAGAGTGTGTGTCCTCCTGCCCTGAACAAGATCTGTTACTTTCTTAATAAATCAATTTAGAATGGGCAGGACTATAAAATGTCAGAAAGTCTACCACAGTTTCTTTAAGCCCATTGTGACGTCTTCTAATGTTATCATACAATTATATAGACATAATAATGTGCTTGATTTTCTATGCAAGATGTGAACAAAAACTAAGAGGCTGCAGCTTTGGAATGTTTGGCATTTTTGATTGATGGATAAATGGACTTTTGAATGAGACACCAAGTTTGTGTTGATCAACTAATTGATTGAGTTTCACTGATTGGATTGTGGACTCTGCCTCAAAGCAGATTTTATCTGAGTATATAAAGCAGAGAGGAGGAAGATTAACCCTTATGAATCCAATCATACATACACAGGCTACATTACAAGCAGGAAAAATGTGTCACCGTGTTCTTACTCTATCCTGCATGGCATTCCTGAGGGGGAACCTCCCATCTCAAAAACTGCCTCTTGGAGTGTGAACCGTGTCACTGAGCCTCAGCGCCCACACACAAACACACACATACACACACAAGTGCAGACAAACTCTTAGATATCGAAGCCCAGAGACACAAACACACGCTAAAGCCCGTCTTTCACAGTCAGTGGCTGTGAACAGCTCGCGGTGCACTGCAGCCTGAGTGACACCCTCCATTGTGTGGTGTGTATTTATGACTGTAAACTCAGAGCTGTGAGGAGAAACAATCTGTGTTGCTGGAGTCAAAACTATTTGGTCTCACATGAGAGGAGCTTTCACAGATGCATCATGTTTCTGAGAGGTGATGAAGATTAGCAGTTAATTCTCAGCTTTGAGTCCAACAGAGACAAAATGGATCAGACTAAAAAACTGGCTTTAATTAAATACAAACTTTAAGTTGTTTGTTTTATTACGTCTGGGTCTGTGAATTGACACAGAATCACACATTTTAAATAAAAAATCTTTAAAGATGTGAATTGTTAATGTATTTTAATTTTCTACACATTTTCACAAAGTCTGATTACATCATTTCAAGTTTTTCTTTTAACTAGACACAAATATTCTTGATTTTAAAAAACAAGTAAGACGTCTCATCACATATCATTCACCAAGTTCTCTCAGATATGAGTCAACCAAAACCTCTCATTTGTCAAATGTTCATGTGTTTGCTGTTTTTCCGCCAGAATAAACAAATTCTGAAGTTTTTAATCAAAAATGTTTCAGAATCAGCCTTAAATAACCCATCGCCTTTAAAATCTGTTAACAATACTGATCTTGCTTTCCTCAACCAGCCTTGGTTAGTCCCGGGTTACTTCAACGAATTCCAAACATATTCCACTGGCAATATGTGGTCGACCACTAGCTACAACACAAACCCACAACAGGCACCCGTGGCTGGCAGGTTTCCTCTCACGCTGATATGATTTGGTGAGCTGCGGCAGAGCAGATAGGCCGAGATGTGGGACAGTGACAGATCTCTTTGCAGGGGAAGTCGAGCAGAAAAAGTGAAGCACAGGTGTTCGGTGGGATACTGTCGCCTCACATCCTGTACATTTCACACACGGCAGCAGCTGCAGACACACCCCTGCTACTTGCAGCAGCAGAAGCCAGCTGGTGAGCCCGCATGATCTCACCTCTGTACCTTTTACAGTTTGAGCAGAAAATAATGAGGCGGAGGATCTGACGGTGCTCTGCCTCATCAAACAAACAGCTCCCACTGTGGCAGCGACAACTGATTGTTTCAAAATATCACTCATGTCTCTCTTTCTCTTTTTGTTCAAGTGATTCAAGCATTAAATGATCTGGATCCCTGATACATCTCTTAGCTTCTCTCTTTCCACTCCCAGATCTCTCAGGTCCTCTGACCAGCCCATCCCTCGGACGAGGTTAAGGGCCAATGGAGTGTTTTCCGCTTCCAAAGAAATACTGAAGGGTAAACTGAAGACCCTTGGTTTCTCAAGCTTTTGAGTTATAATTTATTCACTGGTTGGTTTTATTCTTGTACGTCCCTTTATATTTTTAGAAAATATTATAATATATTATTTAGAAAATGTTGGAAAATGTTGATTGTTACTTCCTGCAGCCCAAGGTGACATCCTCACATTGTATTTCTGTTTGGTTACTGGTCTAAAAACAAATAGATTCATGTTACATTGCTTCTGATGAAAGAGGAAACTGTTACTTATATTTTAAAAACTTAAACCTGCAATGGTTTGACATGTTTGCTTGACAAATTATCATTTGGTCATCTGACTAATATTTGTGAAGTTATTGAAGTCTGCTACTCGTCAGTGGTGATTGAACTTCACAAAACATTGACCTACATCCAGGTTCATCACTCTTGTTGTTGTTTGCTGATATTTTGCAGCACATGTGTTGTCAAATTAAAGTTGTTTTATTCTTGATTTGCACATCTTTTTTCTTTTAACTGAAAATGGCATTCATTTCCTTAAAATCTTATCTTCCTCTCAGGGGAACCTCACATGTGTTCAGGGCAAACTGAGCAGATATGAGAATATAAATCAACGTGGGAAGGTTTCATTGTTAAATGTGTTTGTATCGATGTCAGTCAGTCCTGCAGGTGACACCAGGTTGGTTCAGAGCTTTGTGTTCTTATTTCAACGTCAGTAAACAACAACATTACAGAGCAAATACACTGTTAGTTAGAAAAGAACACGGAGCATTCATTAAAGCAGCAGCTCCTGACACATTATAAACAGTCTATGGTTCTTACACCTGAAGACACAGTGTCTGGTCCTGACGCTGAATGAAAGCAGAGGTGTGAAGGTCGGTGTTGTCACATGTAGAGGACAGAAACTGACGTAAACCGATTAAAGGTCACAGATAAACACTGACCTAACGTCTGTTTACGTAAAACAACATCCTCCATGTGTAAGTGAACCAGAAACGTGACTTACCTCCAGGTTTGTCTTTATCAGAAGCTTGAGAGCGGCAGACAGAGACACATCAGGGGGAAGCACATTTGACACCGATGACGTCGTCCCCATGCGCCGCGGTTTACCCACATCCGGGTGAGTGCTTGATAGTTTAAACGGGTACGCCGAATGAGCGGGGTTTCACTCCGAGGCGCGGAGCCACAAGCCCCGGCGCGATCCGGCGAAGAGAGGCGGGTGTGCGGGTGAGAAAACCGAGCGCTCCCTCCTGACGCCGCGTCCAGCTAAACAAACTACATCATCACCCCGCGCCTTTGTTGTCAGGCTGCAACCGTCCATCGGCCCCAGCTAGCTACACCGACCCGCTGTGCAGGAGGACAACCGAGAGGAGAAACACGCTCATAATGAACCGTGTTACGTTTCTATGCAGCTGAATCCTCCCGACAGAGGGATCAGAGGCGGGTTGAGCTGAAGGAATCAGTCGCTGTTTGAGGAAGGTCGACAGAACGAGGAGGTGAGCTAATGCTAGCTCGCTAACTGCTAGCAACACCGCTGCTCGTCTAAAACCGACTGTTAACTGTTTAGTGGGAATGTTGACACGATCGTGGCTGAATGAGTTGCACTGTGGACGTTTCAGGCTCTTCTCGCTTCACACGCCCGCGTTAACCAGCTAACATCCATAATTTAGCCTGGTGTCGGCTAAGCTAACGTTAGCTGGCAGGAAGTCAGAGGGAGAGAACTTGGTGTGTGTTGAGGTTTTGAGGTAGCACGGTAGTTTTTATGAGGCTCTGAAGAATAAAACTCACTCTGCATCATAACACGACAGAGACTGGGATTCTGAACTGCAAATAAAACCAAAGACTGTGTGTTTCTATGACGTACAATCACTGATCTGCACATGTTTGTGTCTATGTAACATACTTGCAGATATGTATGCTTTGAGATAACATTAAGGTTAGATCTAATATCAGTAATTTAAAAGCAGAAATTAGTCTTGTATTGAAATCAGATTGAGAAATTCCCTGTTCTAATGATCTATCTATGTAACTTTGGTAGTTTGAATTTATCTCCTCAATACAACACAAAGGAAGAGTCTGGAGTTGAATGTCATTAAGTGGTTAAATCAGATTATTTCTGATCATCTGTCGAAATATGCCACACGCCTTCTGCTCAGTCGTGTCAGCCACGGTTCTCAGAAATATAATATAGTGTTAATTTGTAAGATTATATTTTAATATTCCTATTTACAGCTTACTTTTCTGCACAGCATTTTTCTCTCTTAATGTCTTTTGTCTAGCGCAGTTTTTAAAAAGCTACTTGAATTTATTTGAAAGTCTAATATCTCTGTTTCCTCCCCCTTGCTCAGAGTCCACATGTCGTCGGCAGCAGAGACGGTGGAAAATGCTTCCATCATTTCAGAGAGTGTGTCCCATGATGGAAACCGTTTGTGGATAGGCAACATCGACCCCAAAATCACAGAGTGAGTAAATCCAGTTATTTAACAAACTGCAGCATCATGTTGAGTATTGGTTATCAAAGAGCCCGGTCAGTTTGTCTCATCTTGATACATATAATTAGAGCTAAAACAACTAGAGCAACAGTGCAATTTATGTGTCGTACAATCTAATTATCTGATTTCAAGGCATTAAAAGTTATTAGAATATAAATTTGAATTTTATTTCCCTGGAAAGCTTAACATTTCAACATGTGAGCTTGGCACCTGAGTGAAAAACAACGTTAGTGATTTTAGCAGCAATAAGTGTTGGATCTGAGGAGGCTGTCGTGTACGATATGAACCTGAAGCAGTGCTTTTTAACTCGCCTGACTCTGCCTCATAGAGAGGCAACACATTGTGTGTGCTCGTATATGATTGATTAACTGTGTGCATAGTATGTGTGTGTGTGTCGCAGTCTGAGACTGAGCAGACTGGGCTGGGTGTGTGAAAGAGAGGCAGCGAGGCGTGGAGACCTGCTGTGCTAAGGAGCAGCCATCATTCCTCACTCACCTGCCCTGTTTACGCTCTCTGTGTCAGTCTGGTGTGTGTCTGTGTGTGTCTGTGTGTGTCTGTGTGTGTGTGTCTGTGTGTGTGTGTGTGTGTGTGTGTGTGTGTGTGTCTGTGTGTGTCTGTGTGTGTGCATGTGTGTGTGTGTGTGTGTGTGTGTGTGCATGTGCATGCTTAAGCATGTTTAAGTACACAGTTAATGTTTGGGTGGCTGCTGGTGGAGGTGCAGGCTTCAAAACACTGAGGTGTCTGTGTTCATTATTTGTCTGTCTTGCTTTACACGACATCATGTATACAAGCAGACATCCTTCAGTTGTTTGTGTGTGTGTATAAGTGGGATTGGAGCACACCGTTATGTATGATGCGATGGAGAGGTGGTTTTTTTTCTTGGGGTGAGGGGTGTGTTTGTGTGCCTGTGGGGGAATGCTGGAGAATGTATGGGCTGCAGCTCTGGTGGGAGTCTAGACAGACGTTTCCTTCCCCTTTCCCTGCTCTGCTCTACTTCTCCTTAAATAGCCCAGTACGTTACAGTATAGAGGGAAAACAAGAGAAATGCCCGTGGCCCCTGATGCTGATTGGGAAGATTAATTAGCTCCTGGATAGCTTACGTAGTGCAACCCCTGTTTGTCCCGGTGAGTCACAGCAAAACTCAGTGCGGAGGGGGATTGTAGACCTGAAATGCAAGGTGCTGACTATGAGTATGTGATGCCAAAACATGGGACAACACAGGTCGCTTTCAAAATATTAAATGAATAGTGAATAAATTTATTGTGCAAGCTTTTTCTTAGCTAATTAAAGTCATTAATCATGACTTGGATTTTAGGTGTAATTATTTTTTTAATTTAATTTCTCTTACAGGTATTGTTTTCAGATTTACAGTTATTTGGAAGAAATCATGGTTAATCTATGTACTTTTTTAAAAATCTGTTTTTGCCCTTCTCACGGAGCAGAAACACAGCAGGTGGAACCACAGTTTTCACCACATATTCAGGTTTTTTGTTCTGTTGGTTGCTCAGAGAGGGAATTTCTCATTAGTGGTAATCCATCACCTTCTTCCTCTTTGTTCACCCCCTGGCCCGTCATGCTACAAGTTGTGTTGTGTGTCTGGAAGTTGTCGTGGTTTTTATAGAAGCCCTTGTAACCATCATCTTACTCTGCAGACTGCAGGCTTATGTAGAAATTACAGTTCGCTGCCTTGTCAGAAAGTAACCCCACCCCCCCACCCCATCCAAATCTATTCCTCCTCCACTCAAATTTTTTTCTCCCCTCTGACCTGCACTTTTTTGTATCAAATCCTTCTCCCCCTTCCTTCCTTTCTTCTTTTCCTTCCTTCCTTCCTCTTTTGTGGGTTTCTTAGCTCTTGTATCTCTCCTACCTGGCTCCTCACCTCCTCTCATCTCTTGGCTTCTCCAATCCTCCTCTTCCTCCACCTTTCACCTTGACGCTAACATCCCCTCTCTGAACTTTACTCTTCCTCTCCCCCACCTTCCCCTCCCTTTCCTCGGCCCCTCTCCTCCTCTTCCTCCGGTGGTTTTTACAACCCCCAGGAGGAGCGGCCCATTGTGGTTCAGCTCACCAGCATCCAAAAATGTTCTTAGAGTGTCTGCCATCTGATCCCTCTCACATTAACCCATATGCACAAATATGCAGCATGTATTCATTTGAATACATACCTGTATTAAAACACTTGATTTTACTTTCTAGCATCATTGCATTAGGCTGACATGTCATTTCCTGATCAGCGTTGTAGAAGTTCAGCGGTGCACAAACTATTTGAGTGAGAGTGAAGAAAAGTCCTATAAGTAATAACTTTATTATAGTATAGTCTTTCCTGTTTAAATAAGCCTGTAGTGCAGGAAGAGCCACCTTCACATGGGAGCCTTACAGGGTGTTGTCTGGGAAAAGCAGAAATTCTCCTTGGCCTAAAATCCTCGAGGGAGTCGTAGAGGGGTGGAAGACATTAGTACAACCTGTCGTTTAAAGCCACACATCACCCTCTGTGTCCCACACTGAATCTTATACACACACACACACACACACACACACACACACACACACACACACACACACACACACACATTCAGGATTAAGAATAACAACAATAAACAATAAAAGGTTGAATAATTCATTATTCTCCTGTCTCTATTGTCCTGTCATACGAAACACTCATTCTTGGGCCTGGACACAAGGTAACAGCACTAAGGCAAATGCACTGGAAGATTTCAATAAAGATACGTGTATATTATATATATATTATATATTTTTATATTCCATAAATGTATGAATTCGAGGAACATTGATATAGTGATGCATGAGAAAATGTGATTGATCAAACTGTGCTTTAAGAGGAAATTAAATGTTTTTTTCATCTCTACTAGTTTCCTCTGAGGCACGTTATGTAAACTACAGAGTGAACTGGTTTGTAAGCAGGGGTGGTGTCATCTGTACTTTCTGTTTCCAGTGAGATAAACCAAAGTTGATCTCAATTGTTTAATTCAAGGACTTAGACAGGCACCTCTCAGGGGTTAAGAATGACTCAGGGAGACACTGTATATGAGAATTAATCGATATGCAGAAAATACATCTGCAAAAAACGTGATTGATTTATTCTGTTAGTTAAATTCTTGTCGGGATCACTGGCTCCAGCCTCTGGTATATGAATATTTGGTGTATTTCTTTGTATTCAATGGTGAGATATGATATCTTTCTTAGAGATTATTGAACAAACAATGAATCGAGAAAATAATTTGTAGACTAATCAATAATGTAAATGGTCCATAGCTGCAGCCCAATGAGTATCAGAGGTCTGAAACCAAAATCTGAAAATTAGACAGTCCCAAATTATGCATTCACAAAAATTAGAATATTGCACATTGATTTAATTTCACTTTGTCGATTAGTGAAATGAAATAAGAACCTGCTGCTCAGCATGTCTTGGAAACATGAAGACACCACCTGTTTTTACAGCCATATACAGCAGCAATGAAAGCTGTCTTCATGTGACCCTGAAGTCATTCCTCAAAATAATAATGTTTTATTTTTCCCCCATGGCAGCTAGTGGTCAGCAACATGTGCTCACACACTCACACATAACTCTTCGGTGACCACATATCTGTGTTCATGTGTAGTCCAACAGTCTCCGGCAGGTCCACGCAGCCAGTGGATGTTTGTGCGGAGCTCAGAGCCCAGGGGGGATTTTAGGCTTCCTCTGTTTTATTCCCTCATTGTCCTACTACTGTATCCTCAGCATTGTCTCAATAAAAGATTTACTGTCAGTGGCAGCCACACCAGCTGGCTCGCTGCTAAAGAGGTGTCAGAGAGAGAAAGCTGTCGTTCTCGTTAGCTCCATCTGATACAGTCACAGGCTTCAGGGTGCCGAATGCAGCGTGGGGTGCAGGTCTACGTAGGCTGACTGTACATCGTGCATGTTGTAAATCATAAAGGGGATGTTATAATCATGTATGTTACAGTTGCAGTACATTCTTAAATGCTAAACCTACATACTAACCAGGATTTGACTCTGTCTTTTCTTCTGTCATGTGACCTCTGTCTCGGCAGGTATCACCTTGTGAAGTTGTTGGAGAGGTTTGGGCAGGTGAAGCAGTTTGACTTCCTGTTCCATAAGTCTGGGCCTTTAGAGGGACAGCCACGGGGCTACTGCTTCGTCAACTTCAGCACCAGAGAGGTACACACAAGATGAAGTGATTTGTATTTGATTCATTTTTAGATGAACAAAATCTGAAGCTTTGTGCTTATCTCAAGTGTCTATCCCCAATGTGTTCTTTCATAAAAACTACATGCAACATGTGCACATTTTTAAGTATTTAAGTACGTATTTGAATAAATTACTAAATCTGCATCCTGTCAATCATTGGGATTAGTACTAATGATGGACCAATAAAAATGATACACAGTGTCTACATTGACGTGTGTTACACAGACTGATCGAGTCTGACAGCAAGACTGCATTTCTTTTAAAACAGGAGTCTATAGCCGGCTCAGCCTTTCAGGTTCAGCAGGCAGTATTTGTTTTGGAATGAGCTCAGGGATCATGATAAACATCTCGTTTCACAGCTACTATCTATCAGTGGGATATGACGCCCACCCAATAGGAATATACAGAGGAAGTGTGTGTTTATCTTACTCACTCACACACACACTTAGAAACCTGCTGACACACACACAGATAAAAGTACTTAATTTATATATTTAGCATCAAAGCCACTCATTTGATCAGATAAACCTGCATTTACTCACACAGCCTCTGAAACACACGCAGTTGTTGTCTATGTGTGTGAAGTGGCACATCATCATCTGTGGACTAATGATTTAATGACTCGAGTGCATCATCATCACGGCTGATTTTTAATCATAATTGTTAAAGATCTGATTCTCTTTTTCCTCCATGTGCCCGCAGGAAGCGGAGCGGGCGATCCAGTGTTTAAATGGGAAGCTAGCTTTATCCAAGAAGCTGGTCGTGCGCTGGGCGCACGCACAGGTGAGGGTGAGTGTCAAACTTCTGTTCCATTTTATAAAATTAAAAATATTACACTGCCTGATGGCTCAGTGGATTAAGACATAAAAAGTAGAGCATGACAGAGGTTGGCTGATGATATCGGCTGATATGAAACTTTCATAGACGTATCGTTATCGACATCAGCCTTTTCAGAGAACTTTCATTTCACCTAATAATCAACGCAGACAAGATTTTCATTCATGTTTGAATTTTATGTAAAAAAAATCTTTTTTTGATTAAATTTCTACATATTTGGTTGTATTTTCTTTTTATTTAATTATTTATTATAAAGTTTGTTTTAATTGTAAAATATGAAGCCTCAGTTGCACTTAAATTGTCAAAACTATTTTATAACAACAAACAGAAAACGTTACCATTTTTTTCTACATATATATTCGCTGATATATTGATATATCTATAGGTTAGCCAGAGGAAATGTTAAGAGTGGAACTCTTAAAAAAAATTCTTAGGATGAACATTGTGGACTGGGACACCACTTGTACCTCTGGTAAAAGCTATTCAAAGCATCTTTCGATTTTCATTTTCACATTAGTCCTGCAGTGGTCAGTGTATGGAGAGCAGTGGGATCCCAGCAAAGCTTATGTCTGTATCTAACAATGGACAGCCTACTGGCAATGGGTGAGGGGATATCCTGTATAGAGACGAATCACGCCCTACACACACACACACACACACACACACACACACAC